CGAATAATCTGTTTCTACCTTGAGGCAGAGCCCCAGTTGGATAGATTCATTTTCCATACTTAAGGACCAAAATCAGAAATTTTAGGTTTTACATATAACATGTAGTGATTGAATGTTAAAGGAAATAGTTTCTTCAGTTTTGTTTGTTGGCATTATCGTGCATTCCTAAATAACATCTGTTAAGCATATGCTTATTTGTCTCCGCTTGTCTCTGGAATTATTTGCTTTAATGACTATACATGCGCATGAGACTTTATTTACTTTCTTATAGAGGTTTTATTTATGTTCTACAATTAATAAGCTTTATCTGTTGTTGCATAAACCTATCTATAAATGTGAATTTTGGTTTTTCAAATTGAATCTTCTGTTATCTTGGAAATGAGCCTTACGGTGAAGTACCGTTTACGTCCTGGTACTCTGAAGGGTGAATTGTTTAGAGTTCTGCTAGAGCAAGGAATTCATGGGTTGAAAATTTCTGAGTTGGCGAAGTCTCATTGCAGGTCATTTGGGTACATATATGTCACGGCAGTTTTCTAGAGGCTCGTATGTTTGGAGATAAGGTCATTGTTACCACCAAGCACAATGATGATGAGCAGTATATGTGGGAGCCGCTCTGATTCAATGTTTATGGTATGTTGAGTGATGAAGGATCAATTAATTATGCAAATGAAATGATGTAATTGATTTTGAGTGGTATAGAGTTGTACACTTTCATCGTACCGATTATGCAAATGAAATGATGTAGTTGTTAACTTCCAATAAGTGGTATGAACAGTATAACAACTGTTCATACCCTGCAGCTGAGTTGATTTCTATGACATAGTATTAACAGTGTACTTCTATGACATAGTATTAACAGATTTTCAGTAACATAGCGTGCTCTATATTTTGCTCTATATATAGCTGTGCACCTGAAGTTTATGATATGTAGAATGTGATTTTTACTAGGAAGATAGTTCTATGACATAGTATTAACAGTGTACTTTTTTTTCTTGTAGAGATATTTTCTGTTGCCTTTACTATTGTATCTAGTGAAATTGTAGACAATTGGAGATGGTTTCTGCAATCAGATGTCTTGCTGGGTTTTGTTGGGTTTTTTTTTTATGTGAAATTGTATTAACAATGTTTTTTATATGAAATGGTATTAACAATGGTTTTTTTGTATGAAATGGTATTAACAATGGTTTTTTGTATGAAATGGTATTAACAATGGTTTTTTGTATGAAATGGTATTAACAATGGTTTTTTGTATGAAATTGTATTAACAATGTCTTTTTGTATGAAATGATATTAACAATGGTTTTTTTTGTGTGTATGAAATGGTATTAACAATGTTTTTCTATGAAATGGTATTAACAATGTATTTCTATGAAATGGTATTAACAATGTACTTCTATGACATGGTATTAACAATGTACTTCTATGGCATGGTTTGCAGAGGTTCGATGGAGAAGCAAGGGTCGTGGGGCATGCCCTTGGTTTTTGTGTTTTTATTTTATTTTATATTTATACTTAAGTTTGGGTTTTTTAAAAAAATATGGGTTGGGCTTGTTTTGGGTTTTTTTGTGTTTTTTGTATTGGGCTTCTTTTGAGTTAGTTAGTGGCAGTCATGTAATTTATAGGAAATTCAACACTTATTTTGTATGTAGTAAATGGTTTTTGGGTGTGTTTCTAAAGTGCATTTTATGTAGGGTTTTTTTATAATTTCAACCCCTATTTTGGGTATATTACTAAAGCTCCCTAAATTATAGTAAGGGTTATTTCCACAAATGGTCTTTGATGTATATGAAATTATTATCTTTGGTGTTATAAAGGTTTTTTTTTTTAATGATATCGTTGGTCCTCAAGATTAGTCCCGTACATCAAGTTTAGTCCTTCCGTTGTAAGTCTTATCAAAAAAATTGTTGGTGTGACATGTATGTGGAGCTTATATTTATTTAAAACTTCAAATCCATTTGAAAGAAAAAAATATATTTAAAGTGCACCTATCTCTTCCAATTACACTTTGTAAGCCCAACCGTTAACACACAAAAGGTCGAGAGCCCAAACCAAAACCAAAACCGGACATGAAACACAATTCTAGGGGAAAATAATTTACAAGTTCGATTGATTCTGAAGCTATCTGGCTTTATCAAAATGGTTGTGAGCATGAGTTCATCGAATGCATATTGAACAACGATCCTACGAGATTATACTCCGGTGTTTTGGTTTTGACGGACGGATCTGATTTGATTTGGTTTTTTTTGTGTGTTTCCAAATCATCAACGACCGTAAGACTGGGAGGTCCATAGGCTTCGGCTTCGTCACCTTCAGCAACGAGAAGGCCATGAGGGACGCGATCAAAGGCATGAACGACCAGAACCTCGACCGCCGTGACATCACCGTCAACGATGCCCAGTCTTGTGGAAGCTAAAATGAAATGCTGTAATATGTATGTGTCTGCACATTTTGAGCTGTGGATAAGGAATTTTTGGGATTTCAGATTTGCTGGCCAAGTTTCCTCCAAATTATGTGAAGATGAAGCAGCCATTCTGTATGCAACCTTGGGATTCTTATCCAGAGATTGTCAAGAAACTGTTCAAGGTATGTGAATTGCAAACTGTTTGTGGCCTGATTTTGTTAAGTTCTTTTGCAAATATAGGACATCGTTCGTGAAAGATGTCATATGCTCTATCTATTATTGCATTTGCTTTTTCATATTTAAGAGGTCTGTTTTCTTATTCATGATTATTCGACCTATAAAAGCTTGGAATAATTATTTTGTTCTCGCTAATACTGCTTAATGGTCTCTCATTGCTCTTACCAATCTTTTTCGTCTACGCTCTCATTGCATAGATTGAAGTCATAGGTTGTTCTTGCAGAGATGTAATGAGATTTGATTATCAACACATCTGTGCTATAGATGCCCAAATAATATATGTGTTCATCACCCAAAACCTTGAGCATTCAAAGCCTTATTGGCAGTAGTCATTTGAGATTTGTCATTACCCCGAATAATCTGTTTCTACCTTGAGGCAGAGCCCCAATTGGATAGATTCATTTTCCATACTTAAGGACCAAAATCAGAAATTTTAGGTTTTACATATAACATGTAGTGATTGAATGTTAAAGGAAATAGTTTCTTCAGTTTTGTTTGTTGGCATTATCGTGCATTCCTAAATAACATCTGTTAAGCATATGCTTATTTGTCTCCGCTTGTCTCTGGAATTATTTGCTTTAATGACTATACATGCGCATGAGCCTTTATTTACTTTCTTATGGAGGTTTTATTTATGTTCTACAATTAATAAGCTTTATCTGTTGTTGCATAAACCTATCTATAAATGTGAATTTTGGTTTTTCAAATTGAATCTTCTGTTATCTAGGAAATGAGCCTTATGGTGAAGTATGGTTTACGCCCTGGTACTTTGAAGGGTGAATTGTTTAGAGTTCTTCTAGAGCAAGGAATTCATGGGTTGAAAGTTTCTGAGTTGGCGAAGTCTCATTGCAAGTCATTTGGGTACATATATGTCACGGCAGTTTTCTAGAGGCTCATATGTTTGGAGATAAGGTCATTGTTACCACCAAGCACAATGATGATGAGCAGTATATGTGGGAGCCGCTCCGATTCAATGTTTATGGTATGTTGAGTGATGAAGGATCAATTAATTATGCAAAT